TCTTGGTGTACTGTGTGGTTTGCCTCAACAATGTCGTGCATCATTTTGCTTGACTTAGAGATCGAAAGCTAAATATCAAATGCAACGTGTGTAGATAAAAAAAAAAAAAATTAGGAACAAGTACTGTGCAGCGACGGGAACTCTACTTTCCGCTGTCCAAGGAGCATTTATCTGAACTGACAACCTGGTTTGTGATCCTTGCAAAAGTGATCGGTCGAAGGGAGTTAGTTAGGAGTCCCAAATGTGGATAAATTTATCACACTTTGACCCCTTTATAGGTGCTTGCTTTCACATGCTATTTTTGTATATGTACTATATCTTAGAAGTGGAAGGTATGTCACTGAAAATGATTTACATGGAATAGATATACAGACAAATTTGCATTTATTGTTCAGGGTAATAGAACGAACATATTTTCCAATTAGCTTATGATTTTCCCTTCCTGGGCCCGTTCGTTAGTGGCACATTATATTTTCCTCTCATAAATGTCGCTATCGTATCAGAATGTCATCAATAACGTATCATTTTAGATGGAGAAAATGTTTAATAAGCAAATCACCTTTATTACATTTTTTTTATATATAATTCACCAAAACAGGGATCGTCTCCAATCAAAACATTTCAACATAATCACTAGATCTATGCTCACTCATCATCCATTGATTAGACGCGACTAAACGGATATTTTGACAATACGCCAATAAATAATGTTGATTACGGATATTACCGTATACGCACATGCAGAGTATGAGTGAGTACGAGTGCTTATGTCTGTATTCATTCAAATCTATGTACGTTTTTTGTACTATCATTATTATCATTTATTTAATGTATATTTTTAATCATTATCATCTTATTCATTTATTTATCACATTACGCAAGGGTCTCCGCATTAACACACCGAGTTCCCGGCCCGTGACACACTTCGGGAACATCATGAAGAGTGAAAGGAGACCATAAAGAAATCTCCAGGAGGTTGTGGGTCTTATTGAGTCATTCGCTCCCTCGGCCTCCCGGGGCTGCGGCGCCATAAGCCTCCCGTTAATAATAATGGACACCGCTTCGTATAGGCTGTGGACGGAGAGGGAGGGAGAGCTGCAAGGTTGTAAAAATGTTTGGTTTTAATGAATCGTGATAACAATGTTCTATATGCATATATTGTACATGTACATGTATATATATATATATATATATATATATATATATATATAATATATATAGTATGTGTGTGTGTGTGTGTGTGTGTGTGTGTGTGTGTGTGTGTGTGTGTGTGTGTGTTGTGTGTGTGTAATATATATATATATATATATATATATATATATATATATATATATATATATATATAATATATATATATATATATATATAATAGTATATATATATATATATATATATATATATATACAGTATAATATAGTATGTGTATATATATACCCTGGCGGCGTGATCTCTATAAATCTATAGCAGCCAAAAGCGATGCACGTAAACGAAACTGCGTACAAAGGACACCATTCCAAGCGCAACCTTCCCAGCACGACATTAAAAGAATCGGAGGCGTGGAATGGCCATCATTAGGTCGCAGCTGGACGCACCGAACCCCCAGAGGAAGTTTAAAATTCAATTGTTATATTTGTTCATTATTAAAGCTTATGTCGTAAACAGAAAGGGGATTTTGGTTGTATTTTTCTGTTAAGGATTTGGGGTTGTATTCGTGTCTTGAGAGGATGTTTGATTTGTTTTAGCGTGTGTTTGTGAGTGTGTTGTGTTT